CCCCCCCCCCCCCCCCCCCCCCCAAGGAACAACAGGGAAGGGGGCCTGGAAAGATTTAAAAAAAAAGGTTCCTTGAAAGAAATGAGCTTCATGAAATTGTCGTAGTTATCACTTTTAAAAAATTATAAATAAAGCCATTTTATAAATAGCTTACGAAAGAGTAACTTGGTAACAATCATCAAATGGGAAGGGAAAAATATCACAATAATCAACCATAGAAACAATGTTCAAAGAAAAAACGGCACTGAATCTAAAGATCATCAGTTTTACTCCAAAAGGTATAAAAACACGTCTTAAAAAATCATACAGTTTCTTGCCAGCCAAACTATAGCACCCAAAAGAAGTAAAAAAATAAAACGCCATTTTAAAGACCAACTACCAAGGAATTTCCAACATAGTAAGTAAAAAATAAAAACCCGTTTTGAAGACCAACTGTCAAGGAATTTCTCTACTAGAGAAATTCAAGATAGTGTACACTAAACCAAAACTAAAGCGCATCAGCAAACTCGGGATGGAGAAATAAATGACTCAAGAATACAACATTATTCACATAATACCAAGGGGCATAGAAAATGAGATCTTTTCCTTTTTTTTAAGTTATTACAAATATCCAACCTTCCTAGTCTAAACAACAAAAGCCATGTGAACTTTTCACAGGGTTTCTGACATAGATAACTAAAAATCATAACTTCCAAACATTAACTATATATAGAGTTTTCAAGCATCAAACTCCCAATATATCAAAATATCATTCAATCAGCAGAATTTAGTAAAATTAAAAATTGACATAAAGCTGACCTTTAACTAAAGACAAAAAAAATACCATGCTAAAATGTTATCCAATTTTAATAAATTTAAAGAGAGTTCAATAGTTGCCTCACGGGCATTAGCAGAGGTAAGAACTAACTGGCCTACAGGATCATGATTATTAGAAAGAGAAATCATAATTTTTCAGTACAAAGGATAAAATTTTCATCCAACTCAAAAGAGTTGTGTCAATGAAAAGGAACAGGAGCCGAAGATATTATACAATGAAAAGCTTTTATAACGACTCAAGAGTAAGACATGATTCAAACATACTTGCGCATAAGAAAAAGGTCGAACCATTTGGCAACATGTATTGGATAAAAGTACTGAAAGCGAAAGCACAAAAGACTGAAGAAACTTACATCTTCCTCCATTGGTCGGCTGAAATTGAAGACAAAAGAGGGAGGATATGAAAGGCATTAGTATGTTAGAATTAACAAATAGAAGACTAAGATGTCGCATAAACAAATATGCAAATACCAAAGAACAAAATACCTCATCCTGTAACTTGAGGTAGATCTTCTCCAATGTCCTTGGAATGAGTCTGAAAACACAGGAAAACATATGACCATAAGCACATACAACCGTATCAGCATAATCTCATAAAACAGAATGTGCCTAAAGCTGCCCTAAAGAACATCATGTTCCAGAGAGACCATAGTCGAGGCTTAAATTGTTCGAGAAAACACAGAATGAGAATATTAACCCTTGACTCAAGGTCTCCAGTGCTTGTTGAGCATTGATAAACTCAGGAAATGAAAATTTGAACTATTTTCATCCTAAGAGGCAAACAAGATATTACATGTACTCATCATAAAACATTCAAGTAATAATTCCTCAGTCAGATGCAATAGTTTAAGAACACACTACTAGGGAAACTGCACGAAAAAAACAACAGGAAGGACGAAACAATGCAACTAAAAGAAAAGAGAAAGAAAGACCGATTATAAAACCAAAACTGAGAGTGAGATTGAGAGATGAGAACAGAGGGAGGAGAGAAATGGAAAGATAGAGAAGAATTTATCAGAGAGAGAGAGAGAGAGAGCTGACCAGAGCCGGAGAAGACCAAAGGAGAAGGCGAGGGCGAGGTCGGCGGCGAAGTGGCGATGAATAACGAAGAAGATCGGAGAAGGAGGGGGAGAGGGCGAGGGCGAGGGCGCGGTTTTGTGCATAATATTTTCGGCAAAAATTAGCGCCTAAATTTCTAAAAATATTATTGAATTTTTTAAAAGAATCCATAAACTTGTTAACAAAAATTTAAAAAAGAAAATTACTCCGTAGTTTCAAAAGTATTTTATATCCTTTAATGTTTAAAAAAAAAAATTGTTTTTTTAGTACGGAGAAACATAAGCTATCAACTAACCTCTCTCGTGATTTTACTTTTAAGCTTCCCAAAAAACTTTATACCAATAGAGATGTATTCATTACTTCAAAAAATTTTATAGCAATAGAGATGTATTAATTACTTATAAACTCATGATTATTCCCTAAATTAACCAACGTGTGATTCACACTCAACATCCTATGCTTCAAACAAACGGTTTTAATAGATAGAATTACAAGTCCCACTACTTAGTATTGAAGAAGGGTTTTAACAACTTTCAAACATAACACAATAAAATTTGTATAAATTGATAGACTTATAAAAGTTCATAATTTTAATCGAGACAACCGAAAACTGTACAAAGAATATTTACACTAAAATTAAACACAACAAAGCCTTGGCCTAAACCAAGTGGCATTATCAGTAAACTTCAATACACTGCCAAAGAATAAGCGGCTAAAAGCTACTTGGCGCAAACAAGTATCTGAAGAGGACCCTAAAGAGGACAAAAAAATGTACAGACCTGATTGATTACAGACGACACTTGCAGATTAATATAATATCAACCCTTTACCAGAAAATTTGTTTGCATCATAGCTACTTGCAGAGAATTCCAAATGCAGCTTTACACAGCCTCCTCGCCAAGGTAAGAAACACAACACTCACTCCTTCTTTAAGAGGCTGCGCTTTGGGAAGATCATTCCAAGAAATCCAGACATCTTGCTTGGCTTCCTTTGCTTAGAGCTGCAGGCAGAGTTGTTCGAGAATGAAGGATCAGAAACATAAGATTCTTGCTCTTTGTTGTCCTGAACGTCTTTTGTAAGTCGATGCTTTTTGAAGATCATTCCAAGAAATCCAGGCTTCTTGCTCGGCTTCCTTTGCTCGGAGTCGTAGGCAGGCTTGTTAGAGAATGAAGGATCAGAAACATAAGATTCTTGCTGCTCGTTATCCTGAACGTCTTTTGGATGTCGGTGCTTTGTGAAGATCATTCCAAGAAATCCTGGCTTCTTGCTCACCTTCCTTTGCTTGGAGTTGCAGGCAGGCTTGTTAGAAGATGAAGTATCAGAAACATAAGATTCTTGCTGCTCGTTATCCTGAACGTCTTTAAGAAGTCGGTGCAATTCAAAGGCGCCCGCTTTTCCTTTCTCACTCCCATTGTTGGAGATCTTCCAAAGAAGAGGGAAAACACCTTCTTCCATTACTAACTCACAATACTCAACGCGTTGAGAGCATAGCGAAAGGAGAATAGTGATTGCGTGCTCCTGGTTTTCGAGCTTGCCCATTTCAAGACATCGAACAATGGAGGCAATGCAGCCATTAGTTTCAACAATATAAATCTTTCCTTCTTCAGTGTGGCACAAATTTTGCAGAATAAACATACATTTCCCTGAGAGATCATCCTCATCATTTAGCAAGGAAACTAGTTTTGGGATGCACCCCAATGATACGATGTCGGAGCAGATGTGGCTGTTTGAGGACAAGTTAGCAAAAGTTTTGACAGCAAATTCTTGCAAGGCTTTGATCTCTGAATCGAGGTACTCAACCATTGAAGCGAGAACACCGGACGTGACGAACTTAGAACCGCATTTATGGTGGCCAGATAATGCTTCTAAAATGGCAAGAACTTCATCAGTCACTTCTGAATTGAGTAAACTAGCCAATGTTGTCAGAATCTTCTCAGGAACACTCAGGCTGTTCGACCTGCAGTAAGGGCAACGATTGAGCACGATTCCATAAAAGATGTGAAATTCAGATAGGATGAAATGTATGAGCTTCAAACTGAAGAACATGACTGATAGATACATCAATATAAGAAAATAAAAGCATAAAGTACCTGCTTTTTCTCACAAGTGAAAGAAACAGCTCAGATCCATTTTTCTGAGCTTCAGAATCCTGAAGATCAAATGCATCCTTTATAAACAAGGCAAGTTGATCCATGACAGTTTCAGATAAGATTGGACCAAATCTGTTTTTGTTAATGATATCGTTCATATCTTTAATAACCTTGCTTTTTGATTCCCACGAAAGCTCACTCATGGTAGAAGGAAACTCCAAGTTTGTTTCCTCTGCATTTGAATCAGATTGAAACCTACCCAGATCATCATCTTTACTCTGCCTAGACTTGATACCCAATTCATTGAGCCTCAATGAATCTGGATAATAACTATTATGAAGACCACCAAACGAGATATCGCTGAAGTCGATGGGTAGACGTATATCGTTCATTGAACTTCCAAAGCTAGCAATGGAATTCTCCCAAACCTCGGGGCATTCTGGTTCCACACTTGGGTCGGGAATTGTGACTCTAAACTTTATGCACCATTTATGAATTAATTTCTTCATATCAACATTAGGAGTCATTGAAAAACTGGTCAGTTTCATTTTGGTTAGTGGGCATGTATCATGACCCTCATTAAACCATTTTTCAATCCATACCTTTTCGTATGTCACTTTGGATTCAATTACGACAGGATCATACATCAATCTCAATGATATGGGGCACTTGAATTCCTCAGGGGGAATGGCTCTATTGAGTATCATATCAGCTTGGGGAGTATCATTCCCTTGTCTCACATTACCCTCCATTTCCCCATATCCATTGCTACTAGAGATATCCGCTCGGGCTTCCGAGATTTCTTGCAGTATCAGCTTCCCATACTTCTTCAAACGATAGAAAAGGTATGTCAAAATCTTCCTTTTCCGGGGATTACCATGACCAACATCATCTAATAGTTTTCTGATTGATCGTCTCTCGAACAACATTTCCTTATAGGATAAAATATTAAGCCTCAAAGCAGCAATTTTCAGAGCCTTGATTTCAGAAATTTCAGGAGCATCTGGAGACGATGGACCGAGCTTCAACAACTGTTGCATAGCCTTCCAAACCTCTTCTTCAGATGAGTCGAGGATGAATTTTGCAACCTTAAGATCATCTGCTATTTGAGAGATCTGAAAACAATGATTCCATTGTCATCCGATTACCAGGTAAAGTTATGGAAAAAAAAAATTGTATAGAGAGAAAAAACAGCAGCAACTAGAAGAACAAAACTAGAAGAACAAAAATAAAGTGTAACAGCCCAAGCCCACCGCTAGCAAACATTGTCTGCTTTGACCCGTTACGTATCGTCGTCAGAGTCATGATTTCAAAACGCGTCTACTAGGGAGATGTTTCCACACCCTCACAATCCATCCCCTTGGGGGTCAGCGTCCTCACTAGCACACTGCCTAGTGTCAGATTCTGATATCATTTGTAACAGCCCAACCCACCGTTAACAGATATTATCCGCTTTGGCCCGTTACGTATCGTCATCAACCTCACGGTTAACGCGTCTGCTAGGGAGAAGTTTCACACCCTTATAAGTAATACTTCATTCTCCTCTCCAACCGACGTGGGATCTAATCAATTTTGTTCTTTCTGTATGCTACTATAAAAGAAATGCATGGATAAATACGGCAAATGGTACTAGTCAAGGTCTTCAGCTCGCATATTCATGCACCAAGAGATCATAATTTGGTAAGTGATAATGGTAAACTATAAGGCTTTCCTTCTTTTTCTTCACAAAGTAGGGTATAAGAATAAAAGAAACGACGATATTGAATTCGACAAACCTTCCGAGCCAATGCCACAGGAACCATGTATTTAATTTTACGCAAATTGTGCTCCAACAAACTCTTCACTCTATGACATCTAGAGATAATCCTATCTCCAGTTAATGCCTGAAGGAAATACGTGCATCGTCACTGATAATTAGCCACAGTCGGTGACACGCTCACCGGATAAAGTTTAATCATAGACAAGTCTGTTTTTCAGAGGATATGCTCACCAGATAAAGTTTACTCGAGTCTCGACAATACTGAAGAACTAGCTCTGCTTTCTTCATTCCAATGTTTAAATTACACAGTGCCTCTCTTCCTTCCGGGCTTCCAGGACGAGCTGCTTCAATCTCTGGTAATATCTCTAAGACCCGATCGACCAATTTCATTAACTCGGTGCACATTCTACAATGAACCTAAGTTCACAAATGGATTACAATTCTAAAACTTCCTAACAGAAACAAAATTTTAAGGAAAAAAATCCAAATTCTAAGTTCTTTCTGCTTCATGAAATTTCCATACAAAAAGTGCAATGATACCTTAAAGGAATATATATTTGAAACTGCCTCCACGTTTTTGGTACTATCAGTTCCCATTCATAAGATTCTACAAACCTTCAGAAAAGTTACAACAAAGGTTAGTAACCAACATTACCAACCCATAATAGATTTAGCTTCAAACATAATAGAAGTTCTAAAGATAGTCTATCAGAATTGGCATACAAATACGCTAAACAAATATGACTGCCCAAGCTCATCGCTAATAGATATTGTCCGCTTTGGTCCTTTACCTATCGCCGTTAGCCTCATAGTTTTAAAATGCGTCTACTAGGGAGAGGTTTCCACACCCTTATAAGGCATGGTTCGTTCACCTCTCCAACCGATGTGGGATGTGATGGCATCTTCATGTAGAACAGTTTACTGGATCAATGCATAATTTTCAACCAGGGCCACAGAAGGAAGAACTTTGACCAATTCAAACGGGGACAGGAAACACCAAAGCTACCCAGCTTCAGGAGGTTATTTCAGTTCATGAAATTAATCCTCATCGACTTCAATAATGACACAGCACAATAAAATGAACAGTTCAAACAAAGGTTGTGATTCAAATTTTCAATGGTATATGAGAGAGAGAGAGAGAGATAGAGGATACTCTGAGATGCAGAAATTAGAACCAAAATGGAAGAACCCCTTGCAGATTATGCAAGAAAGACTTCAGAATTTGTAATGAAAATTAAGAGAAACCAAAAAACTTAACCAAACATGTTGCAAAAAACGAGCAAAATAAGTCCTCTGACCCCAAGAATTCCTTTAAAATCACTCAGTATCGGACAGATTCCAAGCTGTTTGGCTTCATTCTAGCTTCAACACGAAAAAAGAAAGCCCCAAAGTGGAACAGCATCCATACCCACAAATCATCTCCCTTATTCAAACCCAGATTTCAGAAATTATTCATCTCCCTTATTCGAACCAATATATCTTCTTCTTCTTGTTCTTCAACCCCTTCTGAAGCAGAGTATTAAAAAAAGAAATAGAAAAAACAGAAGAAAACCCCCCTTTCTTCAGCGAATAGCAAAACGCGGCACCATGGCCTTCCACAGTCCACAGTCCGCCCTGATACCGCGAAGAAAACCAGAAAAAGGGTTCTCTCTGCTAATAAAGTGAGACAGGTGCGTGGAAAACAATTTGAAAGCAACCCCATAATTAATGATGACAATCAGACGAGACAAAATGAAGGCAAAACCCATTGCGGTGAAGTTCAGAAGAGGAGATTTCAAATGAATTCATGTGGCATACGAAATTCACAAAAGGAATTTGAGTTTAAAAAATTAGTAAAAAGAAATCTACTATTCAACTCAGTTTCATGGTGGGCTATCCATCATTGTCAGTTCATTTGCTAGACTGTGAACCAGAGTCAACTTTGTGGAATCAACGCCTCACTTAATATCTCTCGGACAATGCTTGTGACCCTACAAAAATCTTAAGATACCATTATTGGAATACTTTAACCTTTATTGTAAGAAACCTATAGTCTAATTTGATTATTTAAATAATGCAACTTATTGTATGTGGGTTAATGGTTCATTGATTAAATTTTGCTTTAAAGCCATGCATTCATTACACATAAATAGTATAATAGACTGTATTAATGTGAGGAGAAAGACCTTAGCTGTTGAGTTTCTTCTAGAACCAATCAAACCAAGAGTTCATATCATAATTAATAATTTTTATTATAAATTAGAAAACACTGTAATAAATATATTGGATATAACTTTTAGAAACTCAAATTTTAATATTATAATAAAGTTAGTATACAAATTATCTTTTGGATATTCGATAGAGTCATTATTGCACTGACTAGCTACACGAAATCACATTTATAGATAAAAAGTAAGGCAATGTTTAATTTATCAATGTTTTACCTTGTTGGGAATGTTGGGTCCATAATGTATATTCTAGTTCAGTTTGGATTGGATCATAAATTTTTTCTCCGCAGTCAAAAACTAAACTAAATTGGTTGACCCCAAAAATAATTACTCAACCCAACCACAAATGCTATGTAACCAAATCTAACCCAGCTCTTATGATTCACGTCAGGTTGATAGAGTTTTCGAATTATCGAGTTTGGTGTGCACTCCAATCAGAATTCAGTCAACACGATATGAATCAATCTCTTATTGTTGTGCCAAAGATCATACCATTTTTTAAGAGAATTGGAATTACATCTCTTTTCCATTCTCATTTCGAAGTTTTTATGTATTTCTATGCCTCTTCTAGGCTCTAAAAAATTAACAACTTTTTTTCGAAATACATACAAAATTCTTGAGAAAGATCTCAAGAAAAATAATTGTAACCTAGCTGTCTTCGATCCAAGATTTTAATTTTTCTATTATTATTTTTCTTATACTTTAATCATTTTTCTTGATTATGAAATTATGTTGGTGGGTTAAAATGATAATATTTGACAATCTCTTCGCTACAATCTGACTGTCTCTCAATATCGTAAGATGTGGATTTTAAAATTTTAATGCCCACTGAAATTTAAAAAAAGAAAAAAAGTTTTATAAATTATCTAATCTGCATCAAACAATGCAAAATTATCAATCTTATTGGAGTAATTTTTTCGAATCATTTCTCCAATAGTCTCTCCTTAGCTACTCGAAGTTATGGTTGAACTTAATAAAAATTTGAAGCAATGATAAAAATCTTGAGATTGACGACTTTAAAATTACTCTATGTTGTTTGTTTTATTGAAGAATTTAATAACAACTTAATAAATCTATGAGTGCAGGAAGTGTGATCAGTTAGGTCAGGATGAATAGACATAGAAGTGATGAACAACCACTAAAAGTGTAGTAATGACATATGCACAAATAAAGAGTGGGAGACTCAAAATTCTAACCGCCCATCTATCTATCATTTTAGAAAAGGTACATAAGAGGTTCAAATTGCTTGCACGAATCTTCCAACAAAAAAAAAAACTTCCCCTCACTTCAAAATAATTTTAAAAACAACATTTAATATCAATAAAAATAGTGTCTTTCATTTATAAACTCGGAGTTGAAATTTATTGGTAAGTCCAATAGAAGCAAGCAAACTTATTTTAATTTTGAATGGAAATTGATTTAAGATATTTTTGTGTTACTTTTCGCAATTAAAGTTTATAAGTTGGAAAGGAAAAAAAAAAAACAATTCGTACAATGGAGACAATAAATAGAGTAACGAATGGTTAGCCTGAATTCATGGAATATAAGGGTTGGGGAAACAAAGAAACTATCGGACCCCCAAATATAAAAGAAAAAATTAAATGACGAGAAAGGTGGGTTCATGGATTTGCAACACGTGTCCAAAATACACCACGTGAGCGCGAGACGACGAGGTAAATAACTGCCACGTCTTATACAAACACGCCACGTAACCAACCCTCTGTCCGAGAAACTCCCACCGACTCGCCCAGTGTGCCCAACTTATAAACCCAAATCTCACCCTCAAAACTCCGAAACTGAATTTTGGATACTTTTCAGATCAGAAGGCAGCGATGGGGACAAGCACGTGGTCGTTTGTGGCGGTTTTGTGGCTGTTATGGGCGGCGGAGATGGGGGTGGTGGAAAAATGCAGGGGTGAAATAGGACAAGGAGCAATGAAGGATGTGAAGGATAATATCACTGAAATTATGGAGATGACGAATATTGAGGGAAAAGCAGAAGCCGTTAAGAAAGGTGCTTCTGAAGTGTTTAATGACGCCAAGGACGCAGCTGAGTCTTGGTCCAACTGGGCTTCCGCCCAGATTTCCAAGTAAATATTTATTGCTTTCTTGTTCCATGTTTTATTCTAAATCAACAATGTCGTGCCAAATTTTTAGGGGTTTTTTTTTTTCTTTTTAACTAATTTAGGCTCAAATATTTATGTAGGGGATTAGGATTGGAAGAAGAAGGATTGAAACAGACAGCCCACCACATGATGGACAAAGCCGGCGACGCAGCCACAAAAACCACACACACAATCGGCACAGCAGCTTCAGGTAATCAAACCGAATTGTCAAAACCCATTATTTAATGATTATTTAATTCTGTTGTCCGTACATTCAGATGCATCTGACAAAGCCGGAGAGGCGGTGAAGGCGGTGTCGGATAAAGCCAGCGACGCCAAAACGAAGGCCAAAGACACGTTTGTGAACGGGAAAGAGAAGGCGGCGAAGGTGTATGAAGCGGCTAAAACCGAGGTGGAGCGGGAAGTTGCGGCGGTTAAGGAGTGTGTGAACTGTGAAGCTGCTAAAGAGATGGCGTCGCATGCCGCCGTACAAATCGGGGCGAAGATAAGGGAGAAGTCCTCGGAGCTGTGAGCTTGACGCCCGGCTCTGTCTTTTTTGTATTGATTTTCATTTCATTTTATTTTTGGGTCTAGGCTGAGTTGTAAAATATTCATTATTGTTTGATACTGTCTTAACGACATTCTTCTTCTCATGAATAATTGTTCCTATAATTTAGGATTCATAATTTTAATGTTTCTTGAGTTTGTTCTTCCAAACAATTGATTATTACAAATGCATCATACTCTGTTTCGATGTATGTCCGGCTAGGAAAATGGGCTTTCTATATATATATTATGGGCTTTATATGATGGAAAATTGGCCCAATTATTGTAAAAACATTTATTAAAAGCTTGTAGATGCCTTGTACAAGAAAAGACACGTTAATGTCATGATATTCTGCATATCCCTATAAAACAAATATAGTCATTAATTTAGATGTCCTCTGCATGAACACCTAACATTACCATAAAATAATGCGCCAAAGTATTCAATTTTGTAGTCGTTACTATAATAAGAACAAGTAGTAATATTGTTTAAAGTATGAGGGCTAAATTGGGATTTGAAGGGGGGAAAAGGGTGGATTCCGATGATGAGAAGAATTAAATAGTGTGGAAAATTGAAGTGAATAATATATATATATATATATATATATATATGCATAGAAAGTTAGAAAATCGAAATAAAACCATGATGCCTAAACAAAAAGAAGACGAAACGAAAACCAAAAAAACATTAAAAAAACAAAACAGGCGGCGGGTCTCCCAATGGACAAATCCACGACGCCACCATCATCATCATCATCACTTCACTCCACAATATCCTTTTAGTTTCTTCTTAATTTTTGATTGTTTGGGAACCCAGAAAGTGAGAGGGAAAAAGAACCAAAACTAACAACAACTTGTAATTTATCTGAGCTTTTCAATCCACTTCTACCCATTGAATGGGTAGAGAAAAAGGAATTGGATTTTTAACCATAGCCATTTTCGCCGCATTTTAATTTTTTTTTTAAAAAAGCTAAATAACAAAAAAAAAAAAAAAAAAAAAAAAAGGG